GTCTGCTGCTGGCTGGCTGGCGGCCCGCAGCAGCATAGAGCATATGCATGGAGGACTGAGGACATGTGCAATATGCAGACTTGGGCTGCTGATATCATTGTCCTGACGGAAACCAAAACCGACAACCGCACCGGATGGATGAAGGACGCCATACGCAAAGAACCGCAGGGATACAGGCTCTACTGCAGCTCGAAACCACGTAGCTCTGGCAAGGATCGCTACTCAGCAGGTGTAGCAATTGCCATTGGTGCTCGTTACACTCGTGCAGGACAAGTGACGCACATACCACCGCCGCCTCTGCTACAAGGGTACCTGTGCCACTGCAAGATCTCCACGTCAGCAAGTACCCCCTTACACGTGCTGGGAATCTACTGTCCAGAAAACACCCTAGTCCGAACCACCATATACGCGCACTGCCGGACAGTTCTAAGACAGGCCAAGAGTAACGGGGAACACGTAGCCCTGGCCGGAGACTTTAATGCCGTTCTGAATCCTGACGACCGCAGTACAGGCCTGCTCGACACAGCAGACCGACTACACCTCAAATTCATCACCGATAACACGCTCACACCGGTCCCTGAAAACTGCTCCCCCCGCCACCCGTCCTTCAAGCAGTGGACCCAGGAATGCTGTACACACCAAAGCCGAATAGACGATATCCTGATGTGCCCCACCCTACACGCGAGTGTAAAAGCGGAGACACCCGCAAACGGGAACACGCCACAAGCGTACTGCAACGTTTCTGTTGCCGGTGGAAACTTCGACCATAATCCCGTTCACGCCCGCCTGCCCGCCGACGCCATCCGCCTGTGGGATGCCAAGAAACCGGCAGCCCCAAACAACCCAGACGGAGACGGGGCCCGGACTAAATGGAAAAACGTGATATTGCCGGTTCCGAATTCCACTATCCGCGCAGCGCAATCGAAGATGGACGCCTCGCTCACGTCGGACATCCTCAGCCTCCAGGAATACCTCCGCCCCGCCGTCCAGGAGATTGAGGCTGGCCTCGCGAAACACATCGAGGACCCCACGGATATGACAGCCACCCGCTTGACGACACTACTTCGCGGACACGACAGCATCACGGCGGTCAATGTGGAGATTGCGGCAGCAATGCTCCAAACAACCCTCGACAAGGGACTAGACATCCTACTAGACCTGTGCCCTCAGAAACCGCCATGTACGGGCAAAATACACACCAAACGAACAGTCAGCAGAGGACTGAAAAAGTTACACAGAGAACACACCCGGCTCAAGCATGACTATGAAATGGAACTACGGATGCAGGCCGCCCCCGGATGCCAACAGCCAGTTTGCGCGGACAGCTCAACAAGCCCTAACGGGCTGGCATCGAATGGCAACCACGCACCTCCTGAAGGTGCCGGGGGATTGCTGGAGCAACTACGGGACACGATCCGACGGGTCGGTAGCCAAATACGGCAGGCGCTAACAACAGAACGCCGGAAAAGCATAACCGCAGCGTGCCGTCGAACCCAGCATCTGATCGCCACACGCCCTCGACGGGCTCACCAAGGCATCTTCAGCAAGGATGAACTCGAACGCGGCCTGCCTGCGGTGAAACACCCGGTCTCCGGTAAAATATGCACGGAACCCGAATCCATCCTTGAAGCAGTCCACCAGTACTTCCAGACGCAGGCCGCCCCCATTGGCCCCCCGAAGACCGGACGGTACCGACCCGAGGAAACCCCTCGAGCGTACCCATTTCTGCAGAGTGCCGCCCCAGACACGTTCTCCCTTACCAGCCCGAAACAGGCCGCGGACCACGTCCTGCTTAGCAGCGTCGCCGACCCTTTTAACTTTAACAAGTGTGTCCAACACCTGGCCCGCAATAAAACACCGGGACCCGATGGGATACCTAACGAGCTACTGAGAGCATTGCCCAATGCCTTACAGTCCACCATCCACGACCTCCTGAAAGTCATGTGGGCCCAGGCTCGCACGCCAAAGAAATGGACTGAATCCGTTACGGTCCTTTTACCAAAAGCAGGAGATGCGCTCCTCCTGAACAACAAGCGACCCATTGCCCTCGCCAACACTCTTTATAAGTTATGGACTAGCCTCGTCACAGTGTCCATCGGGGACGTCGCTCCCGAACTAGCGTTGTTTAGCGAGGCGCAAGAAGGGTTCCTCCGGTACAGAAACACGGAACGGCAAATCCAAAACCTGCTCCACGTCATTGAGGATGCTGGGCTCACACGCAAAGATCTCTACCTGTTATACGTCGACTTCTCCTCGGCATTCAACACCATCAACCACGACCTGCTGCTACAGATCATGTATGACCTAGGGCTACCCGAGGACCTCATCTATGTCGTACGGGATCTGTACAGCCAAGCGCGGACCATTATACGGACAGAACACGGCCTCACAGCACCAATAATGATCGAACGAGGCACAGTACAGGGGGACACGCTCTCGCCGGTGCTATTCATCATTTTCCTCGAACCACTCCTCCGATGGCTCCACGCTGGCGGACGAGGGTACAAGTACGGCTGCCTCCCCGACAGCTTGAACGCCAGGTACCATGGAAGCTCAGCCGCTTACGCCACGACCGCCGTGATGACCAACAGCGCACAAGACCTACAAATACAATGCGACAAGATCAGCTTGTACTCGAAATGGGCGGGCCTACACGTGAATCACAAAAAATGCGCAGTGACGGGCATCCTGCACCACAGGGCATGGGCCGACCGAGGTCTGAACGGACCCACGTGTGCACGCACCCTCAAGGCAGCCTTGGATGAAAAAATCAAAATCAGCGGCCAGTCAGTGCCGTACCTACCCCCCACGGAACCCTACAAGTACCTTGGGGTCCACGTAACGCTGACCCTCAACTGGAGCGCACAGATGTCCCACGTCTGCAAGGCGGTGAGGGACAAGGGCGACCTACTTCAGGGATCCCTAGCATCGCCGGACCAATGTATCAGAATCATACAGACTTGTATACAAGCAGTAGTGTCATACAGCTTCTCCACCATGGCATACACTCCTAATGATATCAGACTTTTGGATGCGATGATCGCACGCGCAGCCCGACGCTGCTACCGCTTGCCCACCAGTTTTCCCACACGCGCCGTGCTGCTACCGGTGGAACAATATGGACTCGGCGTTGGGTCCCTGCTACCGATCTATGTGCGCATGGCAGCTCGCGCGCTGGTCCTCTCCCTGAATGATGAAGGCCGGCTAGGCGTCGTGACACGAGCCATGCTTGAGCTGCAGTGTCGTCTTGCGGCCGACACTAGGATGCACACGTTGAAACGCGAGAGCAGTTTCTACACGACCCTGAAACAGCTGACCCTGGCGCGAGACCATGGCATCGCGGTCACCGACAAAGGGATGCCGTATAACACATCCCTAAACACTCTCATGACGGCCGCCTCCACCGTCAACGCGCGGCAGGACACAAAGTCCGAAACCCTGCCGTACAGATGCTTGCTCCCCTTGACAGAGCTGGGCCTAGACATGCACGCGCTCATAGACAAGAACACAACACAACACCTCATCACCACCACTGACCTTCAGAAGCTTTTCCCCCGGGGCAAGGTGCAGCACCGGCACAAGATCGCCTTGAATCGACTAAGCCTAGCGATAAGTGCCCAATGCCCCCAAGCTCCACACACGAAGGCACATGACCCACGTCGCTGGTCGTCCGCGCTGCCTCTGGAAGACAGACGCCTCCGCGAGATCCCCAGTGACCCTCCGTACACCGGCCTCCGGCACAAATCAAGTCTCCCCAACCCGATACTAGCACCATCCCTCGACCCACATGTACGCCGTGACACACCTGTCATGTGGAGCACGACCACGAAGAAGCCACACCATCCCCGCGCAGAGCCAGACGACATGGAGAGTGACCCACCAGCGCCGCCGAGCCACCCTGCGGAACCAGCCTGCACAGGACGGAAACGCACAAGATCCGTCCACCAGCGGCAACAGGATTTCATCAACAACAATACACGCTGTGACAACAGTAACGTGGGAACAGATAGTGCAGCTATACATGGCGTGCAACTCCGCGACCCGGCCCCGCAATGCACATCCTATATGGAAACGAGACGCGTCATGGCAGCTCTGCGAAAAGACACCCGTAGGAGTGTGCCCAACCTAGGGAACCCCCCTGGGCCTATCGTCCAGGGACCGCGACCGCGCCCAAGCCGGCAAACCCGTCGCACTCTAAGCATCGGCATGACCCCCGTGACAGGAGAAATCGGTACCCCAAACCCAGTGCTGGTGTACCTTGCAGAAAAGGGACTCGACTGTACGCCAGTAGCGCCACGTAACCCCCGCGCCGGCGCAGGCGCGGGGGCGGCAAGGGCCGGTCCGAACACCGCCGACAGGGACCACGCCGGTGATCCGCCTGCGCCCGAACCGGCCAGAGCGCTACCGGGGGCACCGAAGCCACCAGAGCACCTCACCCCGCAATGGTGGAGACCTCGATGGAAAGTCGCCCGCGATCAAATACTGGAGGACAGGATACCCTGGAAGCCTGGAAAAGGCCAGGCAAAGGACACAACGGGGCAGCAACAGATAGTTTATGACCTAAACAACGATGTAGAGGACATCGTAGAAGTACTCGCGGGCCCTATCACAAAACGCATCGTCCCCTCAAACGTTAAACCTCCCAAGAAACAGAAAATCGGGGCTGATACGACCGCAACCCACGAACAGTACTACACGGTTCGCTGGAAAGACACTATCACCCCGATATCTATCGCCGGCGCATACGCCAGCATGGGATACGTGCCCAGACAGCTATTACCAGTGACAGGTCTTTACGGCACGCGGATCGACCGTCACTTCCGCAGAGCGGTATGGGAACCGTCAGATATCCCCGCCGCGCAACTCGGTAGGTTACCCAACGGACCAGCGGCGATGGCGAGGTACGAGCAAACGAGGTCGCAAAGCGTGAACCCCCTCTCGAGATACCCCAAACCCAAGGACAGCAATCTAACGAACCCTCAGAGGCAAGACCGATGGAACCCGCCCCCCTCGGAGCAGACCCAGCGGGCACGCCTTATTCGAGCAAACACTACCTCTGAGACTGCGCCGTGCAACCCATACATGGACACGCGCCCCACGGGAAATTATCGAATCCAGCTAGGTCTGCTAACCAGAGAGGGCGGCTCGACCGAAGGGAACACGGCCTTCGTCTACGACCCGAGAGGGAAATGCGTGGGCACCCTCACCCTGCAACGCCTGGAGACCCTCAGAATGCGATATCAACACACGATCGACACTTACCCGGAGGTGCACAGAAGCCTGTCCTCCCAGGGCGGCTTCGCCGAGGACGTCGCGCGCCTTCTCCTGCGGTACCGAAAGGACCCCGACGGGCGCGAATCGAAAGGCCCGCCACGGTCGCAGGCGACCATGAGCAGAAAACTGCGCTGTACGCTGATTGATGCCCTGCACGCCCTGGATGCCGGCCCAGTCGTCGAAAGGTTCTCATCCCCGCTTAACTGCGGTGAAGAGGTGCAATACTACTTCAGTGTCCACGCAGAAGACCAACTCTTCGGGGCAAACATAGATGCATTCTCTCAGCCATTTACAGGCCTCTCGATAGCACACCCGAACCCTGACCCCACCAGTGTCAAGAAGGCAGTAATGTGGGCAGTCGCAGGCGCATCACACACAATGACATCCGCACTGCCCACCGCCACACTACTCATTGTCCCGCACAGCCGAACTGGCCCCCACACGCAGCTACACAACACACCGTATGTCTTCCAGCTCGCGCGGCTGAGCCGCGGTGAAGCGTGCAAGCTTACCAGCGGGACTGGAACTGACGGCCCCACCCCTGACTACAAGGGGGGCCTGGACCTCGTCGTGGTGGCCAACGACACGGCGATCCGAGGACTAAACGCCCGATCCATGAAGGCGCTCCTATCCGAACTCGAAGCGATGGACGCCACCGGCCTCCCCAGAAAACATCTGCGACTGCGGGACATGTCCGCGGGTACTCACTGCGTCGGCACCCAAA